CCTATCCCACCTATGTGTTTATTAATGATTTGTTTATTGTCTCTCTTCCAAACTCTAAGCTCTACAAGGTCAGGAAACAAATTTGCTATAAACACCAGGTTCAATTAGAGAATAAATGCTATAATTTTATGGATTTATGTTTAAAAATAAGCAGGTACTTACCTAAGTAATAAGTAATTAATATTAAATAATAGTAGTATTAATAGTGTTACTATTAATAAATAATTATTTAATTAGTTACTTCATTAGTTAATTATTTACTTAATTAGTGATTTTAATTACCAATGAGGAAACAACTTAACACTTTAAGCTAGCCAGACCCATACTTCAATTTCCTCTCCATCACGTACTAATTCTTTAGGTAAGTTCTCTGACTTCTCGAAGTTTTAGATCCCTTATACGTAAAACAGGAAAAAACTAGTTGTAAAAATGTGTGAGATAATATAAATATATGTAAGTAAGTAAAAGATAACATATGTAAAGGACCTAGTAGTTATATTTATGATACACATGACTTTAAAATAATTTTTTTTAAATACAATCTGCATTTTATTCCCTCTCCACTCCATCTCCATCATAGGCACATTCTACTTTTATTTGTTCCATTCCATTTTCTACAATTAATTTGAGCATTTAGAAGGTACTAGTGTCCCATGACAAATTTTAATAGTTAAGTCTCTACGAATCTATTAACACGCCAACATGACTTCCAACCTCACACATGTCACTGCCCAGGAAAACTTCAGTAGGAGCAGAGTTTTGCCACTCTCACCTGACTGACAGACATGGCCAGGACCCTTCCAACTGCCACAGAAGCCAAGTCAGATCTGAGGCTGTCAATTATTTTATAAACATTTATTGATGAAGACTAAGAGTAAGACATGAGACTGAGGGGAAGAAGTATCTCATTTTCATATCTTTCTGAATAGATAATAAAAATAATCCTTGCCCTCAGTAAATTCACCATCCACAAAGAAGACTAATATATATACGATAAAACATAAAAATGTTATGTGATGAGTGCTGTAATAGAGGTATCCATAACACTAAGGGAGCACAGAAGAGGAACCAGCTCTGCCTTCAGAGAGAAGGGCAGGCTTCAAAGAGGAGATGATATCTGAGTTGGATAACGAATGAAAAACAGGAGTTTGTCGGGTGGAGAGGAAGGAGGCCTTCTAGGCAGAAGAAAGCTTTGTGCAAAAGGCTTGATATTTCTATCATATAATTTTGCTTTTTCTTGCGGAGGAAGGAGTAGTGGTAGCAGTACTGCCTAGAATGGACCAGATGAAGACTAGTAAAGGCGTCATATTTGGTGGGATATGAATACCATGCTAAGAAACGAACTTTATCCTGAGAACAATGGAGAATATTAAAGTGTGTGTATGCATGTATGTGTGTACTGATCCAATTTGTATTGAGAAGTATAATTAATATTAAATATTATTAGTGTTAATTGGCACAGGCAGAGAGAAGCTGCAGTCCAAAGAGCAGTTTTTAGGTACGGTTGCTTATAACCCAGTGAAATCAATTTAATGGGTGACATCTTGAATTTCTGTTTAAAATGAATTCAAATGGAATAGAAAATATCAGACATTATCTGACATTTAAGAGTAAATTTTACAAAGCTTTTATATCAGATTACATGTGTGTGTTCTGATTCACAATGTAAAATGCCTTTGTTACGACCGGTCATGGTTAAAAGAAGCATGAATTGGTGACTGGCAACTAACCAGATGAAGGAGTGAGGAAAAAGGCAAGGAGGACTCCCAGGTTTCTGGTGTAGGCATCTGAATAGAGCACAATGCCACTGACCAAGAAAGGGAAGAGAGGAGGAGGTCTGCTTTTATCAAGTCCACCAGGGACGGTGGGTGGCTCAGACAGCATCTTCCCTCAACAATTTTTCAGCAGCTACAGTCAATACTAATCTACTTCAGCAAAGACAAAGGACATGCAGGCATTGCAGCTGCAAGCTCACATGAATATACAACTGATATGGGCCCTCTGGAGCAGTCCCAATACACAGAAAACTTGAGAATTAGAAAAAGCAGACAGGATAAGGAAAAGATCAATACCTCCTCCAGGGAGCTAACAGGATGTGAGAAATCCTGTCCCCATTCTAAGAGCCAACAGGGAGCCATCACCCTTGGGAACCCAAGCAAGCTTTCTGGAAAGTCCACTGCCAGAATATTCTGTTTATTATTGTTTTGTTTTAGGGGGAGGGGGGAATTCTTGCTGCTTTAATGACTGCTCTCTAAACCTCACCACCTTTCCCTCGCCCTACCACCTACAGAAGGTATTTCAATCCCTATACTTCTCCAGCAAGTCCAGTGAATCCTGTAATATTGGATTTAGCTATCCCTTGGTTACCCTCCTTGGAGCTTCAGACTGACAGAAAAGGGCTAGAAGAACACAGCTTCTCCACAGACTTGGGGTGAATCCATTGCTCCTCCTAACACCCCCATCCCTTACTAGAGAGAGTTCCCCACGTTTTCTTGGAGAATTACAGAACAGTTGGGCCCCAAACTACCTTTCTTGGGACCCTTCCCACTACAGTCCTCCACAAACCTGCCCCAGGCACTTCAGATAACTCAAATGCTCCATGTTTTTTGTTTTGTTTTGTTTTGTTTTAACTCCCTCTCCATTCTTTCTTTTATTGTGGTCAAATATACAGAACATAAATTTTGCCATTTAACCATTTTAAGTGTACAATTTGGTGGCATTAATTACATCCACAATGTTATGCAACCATCACCACTATCTATTTTTAAAACTTTTCATCACACCAAACAATTCCTTAACCATTAAGCAATAACTCCCCATTCCTGTGTCCTCTCAGTCCCTGTCTACTTTCTGTCTCTATGAATTTGCTAATTCTCGGTACTGCATGTAAGTGGAATGATACTATACTTGTCCTTCTGTATCTGGCTTATTTCACTTTCCATGTTCTTGTATATAATCTATGTTTTGCTCCTGATATTCCCTCAATCTAAAATGTCCTCCTTTTCTCTGACAGAAATTCACCCTTCATGGTGTATCTCAAATGTCACCTCTACTACAGAGCCACTCTTTATCCCCACCACCACCAACACCAAATTTGGATTTAGTCACATCTCCTTGTACATACATAGGATCTACTTGTGCGTTGGGCACAGCACTTCATCCACTGTCATCTATTACAGGCCACTGTACTTTATGTCTTTTTTCCACTAGACTAAGTTTCTTGAAGGTGCACGCCATGTCATATCCTTGTCTCCAACACCTCCAATCCTTAACACACAGCAGGTCCTCAGCAAGAAGTTGCTGATTCAAACTGAAAAGCTACTGATTCATTCCACTGAAGCCCGCAGATCATGAGAATTAATGGAGGCAGGGTGGAGGGGAGATCAAGGGGAGATCTGAGGCAGTCAGGCTCCCTCCTCCCACCTAACTGGTGGTGGTACTCCCCACTCCTCTGAGAAATTAAACCAAGCTCAGCAAGAAAGACTCGGCAGACACGTTTGGAAATGGTGGCCAACTTGAAAGGACTACAAGGAGTTTCAAGGTTCTCCCAGCTGCTATTAGTCAGGTATTGACCTTGGGATGTGGTCACAGGGATTATATATTTTATTTTGCCATCCACTCCCTCTAACACTCTGATACCTCTAACTATATGGGCAATAAAGAGTCATTCATACAGGCTCTGAATATTATCTTTGAGCTCCTCTGGGAACAGCCTAGCCTCCTCTCAACCCTCCCACCTTTCCAGTGAGTAATTCTCCAGTGCCACCCCTGCAGTCCTTTCCTCTTGAAAAAGTAGTTTTTCTCTCAGTATATCCAGCTTCCCTCCCTGAGGTTTTTCCTACCTTCACCATTTACAAGGAAGGTAGTTTGCCTTCTCGGCTGCCTAAAACACAAGGCACATTTCAAAGAAATATGCAGAATTAGTAAGGGTTTCGGTAGTTGAGCCCATAAGCACTACCTACTCAGATTTATTATAGAACTTAGCCAATCTGATTTACAACTGACCATTTTACATCTTATCTCCTTCCCTAGACTGTGAACTTCTTAGAACTATTGCTAGTTCCCAGCAAACGGCCCAGGACACAGTGTGCACTCAATAAACTACCAGCTTAGGAAAAAAAATAACATAAAATGAACTGCCACCTTAGGCCCCTTAGCCAATCTCAGTGACTGAGTTCAGAAGGAATATTTCAGAGATGATCAAAACCAAAAAGTCTTTATATAGTAGTCAGTCCTGTGATGCAAAGCTCAGCTGAACGCAGTCTCAAACAAGGGTCCTTTTGACAGGGCAACCATTCCGCACGTTCCTCAGATACTCACTATGGTCAAAGTAGTAAACTTAGTTTTCCAGAATGTACTTTCCCAAGACCTGGCAGTTCAATAAATACATTCCCCAGCCCCCACTTCAATGTCTTTCCTATATCCTTCTGACCTTTAATACTGGGTAACATTAGATGAAAAATTAATTTTTTTTGGCTACTGATTTTGCCGCTGAAGAAAAAATATACTGTTTAAGGTGTTAAATATTTTTACATGCAACAAATCTGGCACAAATCTAACCTGTATGCACATTTTAGAGGTACAGGCGTAAATGTCAGTGCTATAATTTGTTATAGGTTTCTGATGACCAGCAATGAAAATGACCACTGATTCTCACAATTCAAACCACTTTTACGTAAATGTGAACTTTCCTACAACAGCCAAGGGAGAAAACTTTCCATCTAAGCTCATGGAGTCTCTTAGAGATACTGATAGCATTGTTCAGTGGGTTAGGTGTTCTTTTGAGAAAATCCTACAAATATTAGTTTCTTTCTACGACTATGCTTTGACCTTTAATAAAAATTTGTTTCAAGACACCAGTTCTTAAAATGAAAGGAACAGTTTTTAATGCCTGAACTACTGCCATTTCATATAATCAGCCCTGCTGAAGGCTATACATTACAAGTCAGCAGTGTTTAAAAAAAAAACATTTGGTGACTTCACTTACATTGCTCACTTACCAGACGTGAAGAAGAGTTATAAGAAACCATGAATTGAATGTATCAGGCATCTCACACCCTAGAAAATAATAGTAAAGTATAAATGTGTGTGAGTTTAGAAGCGGGATATTGGCTATATTTTAAATATTGGTAGGGATTCATTAAACTAAAAATATATAGCAGTTACAACGCTCTCTAATAATGCTATCAGAGTGGGCCGGTGGGACCACAGCACAAGGCCACAGGTGGACAGAGCACTGAATACAGTCAAGCAACCAGCCTTCTAGTTCCACCCGTTATCACCTTGCTGTGCAGCCTTGGGCAAATCAATTCTCTCCGCTGAGCCTCCGTGTTCTCACTTTGTATAATGGCCTAGATCAGCGGTTCTCAACCTTTCACGGGGGTCACCTAAGACCATCAGAAAACACATATTTTCGATGGTCTTAGGAACCGAGACACCGCTCCTCTATCCGTCTCCAGGCCCACATGCAGATATGCCCACATACGAGTACCCGGCGACCCCTGTGAAAGGGTCATTCGACCCCCAAAGGGGTCGCGACCCACAGGTTGAGAACCGCTGGCCTACATGACCTCTATGGTTCCTTCCAACATCCATGCAATTCTGGGTTATTCTCCCTTCCTGGTCTCAAAGTCTTCTGGAAAGCTAGGCAGGCACCACCTTGCCTGCTCCACTTTAAGTACAAGTTTTTTCCACTTGAGCCCCACTGAGAGGTCAAGGTTCTTCTAGTCTCCTTTTCCTGTCATCTTTCTTCAAGGTGACCCAATGTGCTACACACATGGGTATATTGAAAGATTCATCCAAAATAAATGACGAGGAGAAAGAAGTGGGACTCCAGGGAGCTGTAGCTGAATAACAAAGCAGACCATTTCTAACAAAAGGCTGTTCATCACCTCCAGGAACGACAAAACTGGGCAGGACTCCTCCTTGGCTTAAGATACCAAAAATCAGGTCAGGGCTTACACATCCAAGCCTCTCAATTCTCACATCTCTAGGAAATGCCTCTGGCTGGATGAGGGGTCCCCCACTGAACGTATTCTCCTTATTACATGACAAGGAGAAAAGCTGGAGCAAGAGGATAAGGAAACATGAGAATCGGTGAGTAGAATCTGTCCTTTGGAGCAATGACTCAAACAATGAAGTACACAATGTACTAAATGCTAACAGGGGCCATTGGGAGAGAAAACACAGAGCAGGACCCCTGTGAGGTATACTAACACCACCAATAATAATAAAGAGCTGTAATTCATTAGAATGGGTGCTTTATATGCACTGGCTCAATGGGGCCTCCAAACAATCCTACAAGATGGGTACTGGTGTTATCCCCACTTGACAGGTGAAAAAACCGACTCTTAAGAGAGATCAAGACAATTGTCCAAGGTCACACAGCCATGAAATGAGACATGTAGGATCAAATTCAGATCTGCTTGATTCCAGACACTCTGGTCTTAATTGTTAATGGCCTCTCGGATATTAATATCAGAAAGTAACATTCACTAAGGGCCCATACTTCATGCCAGGTCCACTGCTTGTCATGTCAGTACATTATCTCACTTAATCCTCCCTTTAACCCTGAAGGGCGGCATTATAGTTCTCATTCTAGAGATGAGAAAATGGGCTCAAAAAGGCTAAGTAACTTGCGGGCAACCATTATATTAACAAGCGAGTGGCTGGGCTGGGGTTTAAGTCCAGGTCTGTCACAAAGTGACACCAAAATATTCTGGTGAGCTTAATGGGAGGTGCCCAGCAGCTGTCAAGTGGACTTCCTCTTGGAGCCCAGCAGGAGGGAGGTGAAGGCTGGCCTGGCTGGCCATACAGCTATTAAGACACATGCCATCTGAGAGTGGGCCAACCACCCTCCACCTAGAACAAGAATAGCCATGAGAAACTCTCAAGCCCGGATCTGAAGTTGGGTCTTTTTTGGATGCTAGAACAAAACATTAAAAAGAAAAGTTTTCTTGGAAGTCTGTCTTTCAATCTGGAAAATGAAATTTGGCTGCTTCTAAAGGACAATCTGTTCAATTGCTACCTCTACATCAAAGCTTCGCAGCAGCCTCCAGGAGCGTTTCCAATTTTCTCAGAGAGGGAATCAGTTCTTGGGCTGGAAAGCACAGACAGACAGGCCAGCAGCTGGACTTGGGTCACAAGTTTTCCCTTCTGGGGGTCGGTTCGGGGCTGAGGATGGGAAAAGAGCTGGCATATGACTGACTCCCTGTAACCACTGGGGTCAAAACAGAAACCCACAGCGTAAAGCCCTAAAAAACAAGACCACTGAATGTTTGACTGTGAGCAACATAAAAACAGCAGATTCTTGGGCTCAACGAAATGTGCTTCAACACTTCAAAGTTAAAACCTGCTGTACAGTCTTTTGCCATAATCACACTCTTGCTCCAATACACACTCAGTGCATTATTTTCTGAGGTGAGGTACTTTCTTCCTCAGCACCAAGTTGGATAAAATTAAATAATTCATTACTGCTATGGGGAGGTAGTAGCAACCCAGTTGTTTGTTTCATGCAGGCTCTGGAGTCAGGCTGCCTGATTCAAAACCGTGACTGCCTCTCACTCACTACGAGACTCTGAATAAAGTTACTTAGCCTCTCGGTGCCTCAGTTTTGTTCTCTGTAAAAATGGGGAGAACTAGAGAACCTACCTTATAGGATTTGTGTGAGGATTAAATAAGACCTGTAAAATGTTTAGCAAAATGGTTAGTATTTAATAGGTGCTCGTAAATATTCACTATTGTTCTTCAGTGAGTTATTTAAACACTGGGTTTAAATTCTCTTTGAAAACCAGTCACTAATTATTTAAGACTGTGTCAATAACATGAGGAATGTCAATCGCTGACTCAGAACTTATTCATTAAGGAGCCTCCCCTTAAAGTATTGTCTCTTAAGGGCTAACAATCTGTAAACAGTCTGGAATTAGACCCAAGCTTTACTGATTGGCCACCTCTGATCCAAAGTGCTCTTCATGATAGAACTGATCTCTAAAAGGCCAGTTAGCAAAGCCCTGTGTGCTCATTTATGCACGGCAGAAGGCTGCTAAGGTAGCTCACCGGTCAGAATCCCTAGCATCTAGCTCTCTGGATCAAGACCTTTGAACACTGGCTCTGAGATAACAGAGTCTACTTTGGCCTTTTCGGGGGGGGGGGGGGGGTCTGTCCAAGAGGCTGGAAGGCATATTGTATACTCACAAGCACACTGCAAGTAAACATTGCATTCTTACACAATCAATCTTCATGAAACTGGCCTCACTTTTGTTGGAGTGAGGATGACACTGGCAAGCTACCGCCATCCTTTTTAGAAATTACTCAACTCTCAGGACTCTAAAATACCAAAATCCAAGGGACCAATGGCCACTGTGTAATCTTGGAAAGCAATATATAGATTCTCCTCTTTTACTCCAAACCTGTCTGGTGTATTCTTTAGAAGCTAAGATGCAAAAAAGTCAGTCTCTTTATTTTATGTTCTTTATCTGCCCAAATGGCACTTTCCAGATTGGAGCCCTTTTTTATGCACTAGCCAGTTTGGAACCACTTTGGTTTGATTTTAAAACTTAATCTACCCACAAATTACAAAGGTGGACATCAATGAAGCATAATACAAATGAACATTCAATGGGTCTAAAAGGCAATTCTCAAGTTAAGTCTTAGAAAACCAGGAGTAAAAGTGGTAACACTGAAAAATGTGCGGCCTCCCTAGTTAACTACTTCAAAGGGGAAAGCTAGGACAAAGCTCACTGAGATGTACACACTTTAATATATATAAACATCAGTTTACTATACTAACAGGACATCTCATAGGTAGTGCTCATTTAAGTATAATAAATTACAAAAATAACTACAATTTCTAATTTGAAGTTATATTCACTCACAAACAATATGTTATAGTGGAAAAATTCCTACATTTTAAACCAGGTGACATAGGATCAAAGCTTGACTAAGCAACTTTGGGCAAGTCATTTAGCCTCTTTAAGTTTCAATAGTTTCTGAAAAAAAAAAAAAAATGAAAATAAGAATATAAGCCTTGCCTGTCCCACAAGGTTTTTTTAACTCCTAAATGAGAAAAATGTAAAAGGATACCATGTAAGTGTAAATTATTAGTATATAATGGTAATAATTTTTATAAACGTTTATTTTTATAAATAATTTACAATAGATTATAAATTAAAACATGATAAATTAGTTTAAATATGTAATGGTCTCATTCAGTACTATAATATTAACTCAAGAATCTTCAATAGTAAGGACTGGCTAAGACAAAGATAGCTTTCAAAATAATTAAAATACATTTCTAAGTTATTTATTGAATCAAATATTAAATAGTTATCTGAGGATGAGGTTTTAAAAATATCTGATGAAAAATACTGAAGCACATGGATTCAAGAAACTACTTAAGAAAAATCCAGCTTCTAATATTAAGTTTCTTCATCATGTAGAGAAATAATATTTTCTCCTTTCAGGCTAATGTTTCCTAAAATGAGAAATTGTTAGACATTAAAAAGCAGAAAAGTTTTCTTTTTTTACTATGAATAAATAAGAAATGGAAGGTAGACACTAAATTGGGATTATAACTAAGTATGGTATTTTAAGTCTCTAATATAATATCAATTGGCTGAAATAGTAAAATAAACAAAACTTGCATTTGGCTTTAAAAAACCAAAATAGCTATTAAATAATCAAAACTGCATCTATTACTAGCTTTCTTCATTGTAGTTAACCTACTTATTTATAAATATTTGCTGTCCATGAAAAATACCAAGTTAGGTGTTTGTTGCTTTGAGGATAATGGCTGTTACCATAGAACTGCATAGCACACATTTCCTTCCAAAATCTGTGGAACTGGAAATGGCTTAAACTTTCCCAATGACTTTACAAGTATCTGCTTTAATTAACTTTGTTTATAACTACAACAGTTTACAGCATCAAAATGAAGACTGTATTGATACAATCAAAGGCTAGTGGTATTCTAAACTAGTAAATCCCTTTCGGAAAGCAAATTATCAATGGGCTATAAATAATAAAAGTATATGTGCCTTTTGACCTAATAGTCTTTCAACAGAAAGAAGAAAAATCATGAGGCGCATTCCAGGTTTAACAAAAACAATTAACAACTAGAAATAAAAGAGGGCCAATTGGCAAAAAGGTCACATCAAAATGCTAAGTAAAACATTCAGAATGTAAAACAGGATATGTTTACATGAGTATTCTTACGTAAAAAGATGCATGTGTGGACAAGGGGGATGATAATGTAAAAGTACTAGACAAATTTTTAGGTTTTTTTCAAACTTGTTAAAATGTTTTATTTATAGGGCTCTTCTAGTCTTTGTTTATTGTATTAAAAGAGAAAAATGAGTTTTTATTATATGCTTTGTGAAGGAAAAATGATTCTAATAGTGACTTTTTAAAAAAATCTATCCTATTAAGACATGATTGTAAAAATGAAAAGTAGATTCATTTTCCTTTCCAGAACTATCAAAAACAGTAACTTACTTAGAAAGAATTCCTCGAAGTCAGTTTTCTTCACACAGCTAGTATACATGCGCAGGGCTGCAATCTTAATCTTCTAGACAAAGAAAATAAAACCAAACTCAAGACATGACCAAGTGGATGTTCTATTGCCATTAGACATAAGTCACAGAACCTTATATTTCTTCAACTAGAAGGAAGGGTCCAAACCTGTCTCTAAGCAATTTAATAGCTAAACCAACATAGATATTTCTTTCTACTTTTAAAGCTAGTCATTCATACAGACTTCACACAGTTTCACATTTCAGGACTTCAGCATGAAAATGTCAAAAGGTTTTTCCAACATTTAAATAAAATCTCTTCTTTAATTCAAGCCCATTTCACCACATGTAAGCCTCTAAAACCACTGAACAGCATCATCCACATTAGCTCTTTATAATCTGAAACCCTTTATATTAAAAAATTACCCATTCCTCTGACCAAAATCAAACAAACAAAAACCTTAATCCTTCAATCTTTCTTCAGAGGAGCAATTTTCTATTCCGTAAGTCTTTTTTTTTTCCTTGAGGGAGATGTCATTTTTTGCTATATTTCCCTAGTTTTATACTTAGCTGATTAACAGGAGTTCCTAAGAGTTCCTAATGAATATAAAATATAGGAGTGACCTTTTACTATTTTCCAAAGCACTAAGAATTCTCTTAGAATCTTGATATAAGTAGTGGTTTCAATTTATTCACTGAGCTGTATACTTAAGATTTGTATATTTTACTATATGTACATTATGCCTTAATAAACATAAATCTAAAAGTAAAAAATAAGTTCTTTTAAGAGTCAAACTGTAGGTCTGAAGACCAACTCAGTGCTAAGTGAACAGGTACTATTTCCAAGGACTTTCAAAATATTTCCTTAAGGATACAATTAAATAAATTAGTACATCAACGAAAGGCTTTCTTCCTAAAATAACAGAGAAAATTACAAACTTAAATATGCACAGACTAAAAAGAAATATGCACAGACTGAGAATGACATAGCAACTGAAGAAAACCAATCAAAAGGCCAGCCAAGTGGTTCAGTTGGTTAAGAGCTCGCTCAAGAGTGCAAGCTCTGAGCAACAGCGGTTCTATTCCCGGCCCCAGCTGAGTTGCCGCCAACAGGTGGCAGGATGGCTCAGCTAAAAAAAAAAAAAAGAAAACCAATCAAGAATTTTAGTAGAGGTATGGTTCTAAGGTTCAATGTCACCAAAGATATATATTACATCCAATAATATATAATGTTCATATTTCTCTATATTCTCTAGAGTCTGATAGGTAGAAATACCCATAATAAATTAAGGAAGAATTATGTCTCTGATTATAATTAAGATTTTTTTTATGTGCTAATTTGAGGCCTGTCATGATTTCAAGGCTTTTAGTCTAAAGCTCATACAGGGGAAAACAGAACATGTTAACAAGTGGAAATCAGATATACCTATATGGGGAGTAAATCAGCATTAGAAGCCCACAATTAAACAAAACCCATGATAAAGCACTTGAAAAAAAGCAAATTAAGCCGAAAAGCAAGCAGAAAATATAATAAAGACTAACAGCAGAAATCAATAAAATTGAAAATAGAAATATAGTATTGAAAATCAAAGAAGTCAAAGCTAGTTTTTGAAATATCAATAAAATTGGTAAAACTTTAGTCACATGATAAAGAAAAAAACACAAAACAGAAGATACAAATTACCAATATCAGGAATCAGAGGGGACATCACTAAAATCATGAAGATATCAATAGGATAATAAGGGAATATATGGAAAACTTTAGGCCAATAAATTTGATTACCTAGATGAAATGGACAAATTCCTAGAAAGAAACAAACTACCAAACTTTACTAGAATAAAAAAATAACATGAATAGTCATCTATTAAAGAAATTGGATTTATGGTTAAAAACCTTCCCACAAAGAAAACTCTAGGCTCAATGGCATCACTACAGAATTCTACCAGACATGTAAAGAAACAATAGCAAATCTACACAAACTCTTCCAGAAAACAAGAGGAAAGAATACTTCCCAGCTCATTCTATGAGATGAACATTACTCTGATATTAAACCAAAGTCATTAGATGAAAACAAAACTATAGAGCCTTCATAAATAAAAATACAAAAATCCTTAACAAAATATTAACAAATTGAATCCATCAGTATTTAAAAAGGACAATTATGATCAAGTGGGATTTATCCCAGGAATACAGAGTTGATTCAACATTTGCAAATCAACCAGTATAATTCACCATATCAATAGGCTAAAACACAAGCCTGTAGGATTTTGTTAATACCTGCAGGTTCTTGGAAGTATCTGACACAACACATTTTGGGAAGCACTGGTCTGTACCATCACCAAACTAATGATATTCTAATGATGTCATTATCCTAATACTTCAGCCTTTGACAGACCTATTCCGATTTCTATCCTTGTGACAGGGGGTTAGGACATCTGTTAGCTCTTCCTTTCATTTGACAACTTACAGAGTATCTAACTCAGTGCCGGGTATTAATTTGGATGCTGGGAATAGAGCAATACACAGAACAGTCAAAAACTCCTGCTTTCATGGAGCTTACGGCCTAGTTCAACTATAGACACATTTATAATTTTAAATAAAATTCCTAATGGCCTCTTTCTTGATTTGTTTTTAACTCTGCAGTTTCCTTCAGATTCTTATAGAGTCCTCTCGGTTCATAATTAATCACCCTGCCTGAGGAAAGGCAGACTTGCCTCCAGGGCCCAAATCTTTCCTTGAGAAGATTTTCCCCCACAACATGTCCATGAAGAAAGCATTCATTACAAATAATGAAGACTTCACCAGATTAACCAGTGTTATTTATACAGTGCTTATATTGGGGCAATCAGGAGCATTTTATAGTTCCTCACTTTTCCTACAGGGAAGCCAAGCCTTTAGACTTGGGTGAGCCATTTTCCTGGACAAATCTCTAAAGCAAGTCCCTTAAGACCATCACACAGGGACTGGAAATAACTTGAGAAAAGAACCTCTTCAAGATTTACGTGCTAATATATAAGTTAAGCGGGTAGGTGGTCTAAATTTCCCTCCAGTCAATACATATGAATTGTTCCGGTCCCCAGATGACTTCGTGTTTATTTCATTCTAACTTTGGAAGACTTCATCAGTCTATCTGACTAAAACAGAAGCACCTAAGACAGCTTTTGGAAATGAAAATCAGCTCTTCCACTAACTGATGCATTTTGTACCATCCTACAAGATGAAAAACAAATCTAGTAAAAGGCTTGCACTAAGGGAAGGGGCTTTGAAGTCATTTGAACCTTCTATTCTGTACTGGAATTCCTTCTACAGCATTCTTGACTCATGGTCAACCATCTGGGCCCACGTTCAAACAAGTCCAATGACCTTGTGAGGCCACCTCTCCTACTGAAGGACAATCCTTAGATTTTTGTTTATTGAACTTAAATCTGCTTCAGGTAACATTCATTAAACATCATCTGCCCACTGGAAAACTTCATATTAAGTCTTTTCTCTCTCTTTTTTTTTTTTTTTACATTGCCCCTCAAATACCTGAGAAGAACCATGTCTTCTCTTTTCCAGGCTAAGTATACCTATTTCCTTCAACTATTCTTCATTCAAAATGGTTTCTAAAGCCTTCACAAGGCTCAGTGTCCACTTCTGAATGCATTCCAGTTCATCAGTAAGCAAGTTTTTAGCTTACTGCTAATCTAGAAACTTACTGCTATTCTATGACAGGTGGCTGAATCTAGTGAATGTTGTCCTTGTTTTACCTGATACTCCTACATAAAGATAATGAAATAGAATATTTATTTCAAATACGTAAGAAAAAGTTACATTTAAATGCCTAAATATGAATCTAGAAGAAAAATGGAACTCCACATGAAAACATTACAGAAAAAGATGGAGGACGGATGGTTGATACTGCTAATGTGGACAGACCGAGTAGGCATTTTACTCCCTAATCAAAGACACATAAAAACACAAAACTCAAAGAATCTTGCCAGTGCAATCCAAAACAAATGTCTAGCCATAGATTTCTGAGTCAGCATTTACTTTAAAGGGCTCACAACCTTTCAAAATGGAAAGCTATACCTACATTTTCCCCACATAAAATATACCAAAATGTCAATATTCTGATGTTTTGATGTCATGAATTAAAAAATGAAAGTTATAGAAAGTAGACACTGCCATGTCACAAAAGATTTTTAAAGTGCAAATATTAGAGACTTTGTTGAGGTCACAAGAGAATCAAGAAAATCAGAGCCTAACTTAAGCTAAACAGTGAAGAAATTTTCTGATTTAATAATCATCCAAATGGTAGCCAACTTTCCCTCTGGAATCATAAAAATACAGACCAGACAAAGCATATAGTAGCAACCAAGTGGAAACCAACCATCAAGAAATTACTAAAACAGTATTTTTTTTCTCTTTTCCTTCTTTCTGCTCTCATTTGCCTTTCCTTTAATTTCTAATTTTCAAGCAAAACACTTATTTTAAGTTTTTAAACCCAAATGCCATGATCACAACCATTTTTTTATAGAGGAAAAGATTCTGGTTAATAATATTACCTAATATACCAATAATTATCAATTGCCAAAGAATTAAGATGTAGAAAAGATAACTTTAATAAATATAATATTTATTTGATTAAGAAGGCAATGCATAACTTTTAATGTCTTAAGAACATTATTACCTAGTATATGTGTTATTCTCTATACATTTCATAGCCCCTTACAAACAAATGCTTGTGGAATCAGTTCGCTTTTCAGAATTTATGTAAAAGGGAGATTATAAAGAGAAGCCTATATCTGCTACAGTGAGAACTGTCAGGAAGAGAACCAGACATAAGAAGAAATTAAAAGTAGACATCTAATAAAATTGAAATTCTAATTTAAATCCAACTTGTTAAAATGGTATAAATGGCATTATTTGGTCATTTTGGGCAAAGCTATGATGTTTTCTAGAAAAGTCTTCCCTACTGCTTTGTGTTGGCTTGCTTTTATATATAACTTACAACTGATTAGGCTTATCCAACGCTCTACAACCTTAAAAGGCACTTATACCATAATGGTACAGAGAAACTCATAGGGCTAGGTGATAACTGAAATGAGAAACACTGAATGGCCAATGTTTTATTACTTTAATTGGTCAGAGCCATTGTTAAAAAAAAATAAAAGCCTAGAGGCAGTATGCACCGGATGCAGAGAGGGCATTCATTCAGTTATAACAACTACTATATAACAGATAACATGCTAGGCCAAGAGTTGACTAGAAATGATACAGCTAGCAAATTTCCCACCTTAATAAGAATTGCAATAAATCACAGGGTTAATTAGTTAATTTAAAGTGTTGTTATTAGTAAAATTTTAAAGAAAGTCAATACAATGATCCAGTGAAAAAATCACTTATGAATAGAAGTTCATCAGAGGGTAATGTTTCCTTAAGAACACTATCCGTCACATCTGGCCCATCTAATTCCTAGAACTTATCTACATGGTCATATCATGCAGCAAGGGCTTGGAAAGCCCAGTCTTATTGGCATGCTTGCTACTAAGATATTTTTGAGGAATCAGAGAGCGTATTTCAGCCCCACATGTTGTAGATATGTGTAGATCTGACTTAGAAAGGAGAGCAGGGGGGGCGACAACACATTTTGAAGCTTTCAAAATAATGTATGAATTTCACAAAAACAAAGCAGAAGCTTTAAAATAATCTTCTATGAGGAGCAGAAAGCAAAAGCCCAAAAAGAAAAACGAGAAGAATTTAAAAGACTTTACCCATTTACTGTATTTCAAAGGTCCTGTGAATCCCATGGCTTCTATTATCTTCGTGAAGGCACCAACCTTCTCCTCAACAGACTGTGGAGAATCCTTGGTAGTACAAAGCTATTTAACCAAAAAGGAGGCCAAAATTAGTTGCAAAGAAGATTTTTTTTTTTTTAAGAATGCTTTTGCTTCTCATTAGGTCTAAGGGCATTTTTATTGCTTAGTTTTTTTCTCACCTCGAATTTTTAATTCTCATTTTTTCTGGTCATCTTATCACTCAGTGCAAACACATCTGCAACTCTACCTAACAGATGTCCTCCAAATTTCAGAACAAGAGGTACCAACCCCACTGACCATATGCCTATGAACCCATGTCTAGGAAATGATAGATTTGGGGTTTCAGAATAAAAGTTCTATGAAAAAGAGTACTTTTTAAAGGAAATCTTGACCCCCATTTCCCTAAGAACAATTCTGAGAAGAGGAATATTCTATGCTTATTGATAGACAGGAAAAGGAAAGAAAAATACTGTCTGATAGCAGTCAAATACTCACTGGATAAATGTTTTTGGACTCTTGCATTTTTTAGTATAACAAATTTTATTAATGACGATAGAGTCTTGTAGTTTGCAAATAAACTCCAAGGAAAACTGTTCTAATGCTAAGTCTCTCCAAATGAAGGCAGGCTATATAACCAACAAGAAATTCTCCAAAAGTTATATGTTACTTTATGTTTAACATACAAATTCATAAGGACTTCTTTCTCTAAAGCATTTTCCAGGCAAGACAGGGCAATGGAAGAAAAACAGGACATGGGATCAGAAGTCTCAAGTTCAAATATTCAGTTGCTCTGTCACTTACAGTCCTTGTGACCTTGAGCAAGTCACTTCACTTCCCTGAGCCTCACCTGCACTGGATAAAATTCCTTGCCTCATCCAGCTAACTATTTTGCCCAGATTCAAATAAGAACTCCTGTGTAAAAGTATTCTATAAACATAGAAAGCACTAATATTCTCACCTTATTTGTGGTGTGAAACTTCCTACTCAGCTGCATGTCTGTTCCAGGAATCTGTTCTGATCCACCACACGCTAGGGACTGGCTCGTCTGAGGCCACTTGGGGATTTAACAACAACAAAAAAAAACAGAGGTAAGCAACACTGAGCATACACTTAGAGGATTCATCTAACCTAAGCCAAACTGCTTCAAAGTAGACTACAGAATCTTGCTTAACCCAATTCCTGGTGATCTGATCACCAAGAGGATCCAAGATTGA